TCTGATTGGGGGAGAATCTGGGCCAAGAAATTCGTTCTTAAGATTAAAACGCTCGGATCTGGAATGTTGTCTTCACAATCGCTCCGTTCTGCGCAGATATGGATTTGTTTGACAGGTGTTTGTGGAAAAAGTTCAATCTTCTTCCAACGCCTCCATCTTGAACGATCGACCTTTAAGATTTAATTAATAAGACCAATTTCTCCAAATCCCCAAACGCACTTCTTTCATACTCACTCGGGCAATGCAGTTTAATCTCCTTTCTTTAGTTTTACTTGCTACGTGATCGCAAGTGCAACAATGATACTGTTAAACGAAAAATCAATATCTGAAATCTCGACTTATTTATTATTAAACCTTGATCAAAGATGCTCCATGTCCTCATTTAGAATTAAAAGCGTCGTGTGGTTAGTGTAGGTTAGGTTCAACAAGCGCTCCGAGCAAAGATTATTCCAGAGCCCCCGTCCGCAGCCTGCAACGCAGCCGCTTTCCGCGTCTCGGGCCGACGCAGCCGCCGAGGAGGCGGGAGAGCTGTCGCCGACCTGCCATGTTGTCAATCAATCAACTCCTACATCACAGCTGTCGTCAGCACGCGCACAGAAACGCACCAAGGCCGCAAAGTGCCCGAGGAGGTGCCAGCTGTCGCTCGTGGGAGAGCGAGAGCGGGTTGGCGCCGAGAGGGACAGAGCGCGCGTCGGTCGCCGCTGCGGTGTTGCGCTACCTCCTCGGGCCGCATTCCCGCCGGGCAGCCCCTGAGCCAAACGGACGAGCAAACCGGCGACACCGCTTGCAACCAAAATTGCTTTGCGCTTTGGTTGGCACCGAGAGCAACGGGAGGGGGGGGGGGGGGGTTTTAGTTTCAAAAAAACAACAGAAAACAATAGCGCGTGTCTGCGCTGGGCCGCCGGTGATCAGACGAAGCAACGCCGATGGTAGAGTGGCGAGCAACTGAGTAACCGTTCGGCACCTGGTTCGGCCCTGTGTGGCCGGTCACTGCATGGGGGTGAGCGAGGGTCGCGATCGTCCCAGGGACGGCATCCCTGGGCTTCGGCCTCCCACCTCCCACCTCCCCTCCCGAAGCCAACAATAAATGTTCAAAAATTTGTTTTACTACTTCTTTATGCTATAAGTCAAAAAATAAAAATATATTTTATATTCAGTATAAATGAAAAATTCTGTTTACGAAATCAAGTCGGCTAGTTAAACCGGTAATCCCCCTTCCATCCTCCAATATACACACGCGAACAAAATCGTGGGTGGGTCTTGGTCACCACAAATATACTTCGTATACAGAGTATATTGGAGGGGATTCTCCGGTAATCTATACCTCATCCATTAAGTCATTCCATCCAACAACTTGGGGCTGGTAACACCCGCGATGAATAATTACTCTGGAATTATGTTGGTTATCTAGTTTTAATTTAACAGCCTGTAATGCGTTTTGAAAAACGTATCCCGTGCGTTATTATTTAATTCAGAAAATGTAAAAGATGTAAATGAAGAGCAAACAACCGAACAATAATGAACTCTTTATAAATAACAATTACAAACAATAAACTAACTGAGTTTGTCTGTAAAATAATTGATATTCTTACAAAGTCAACACACATTGTAAATTTAGGTAGTAGCTAACCTTATAGTTGTCTCTGCGACTAAAATTTATCCAAAAAACAACAAAACAAAACATTTTAAACATGTGGTTAACGACAATCTCTTTTACATATCGTCCCAAATGTTTAATAAAGTATTAATTGTACATCGTAAATGAAATGTGTTATTTGATTTAAAAATCAAGAAATGCAGTGTTCTTTATTTTGTGATCATGTAAAATTCAGTATTAATGAATTTAAGATTCTACTAAGTGAATGATGGACACCCAGAGATATTTTGTTCCACCCCAGTGACGGGCCGTGCCAGGTATTGGCTGAAACGCGATAGTCCTGTTATTCATTCACCACATTTTATTTCCCATGGTGATGTGTACTCGTTTGTCCGGGAGGTGCGTATGAATCAGAGTCTGATAACGCGTTAAACTGGCATTAGAGAAAGAATGTGAGCAAAGAACTTAAGAGTTGGTGCAGCCTGTGACTCCCAGTGCATGCGCACTTGTATTCAGTCGCAAAACATTTAATTTAAAAGAACGAGTTAAAAGAAGTGATGCAACAGAGCAGGTCTGTGAACCAGATCTATGTTGTGCAGAAGCCTTTAAAGTGGAAAGAAAATCACAATAAGAACAAATCATAAAATATGACAGGATGAGGAGAAGGGTAGGAAAGTTTTCGTAATAATTTGAAATTATATCTACTTTTACCCAATATACAAACCAATATTATCCTATTATAACAAAACGACCATTGTACAAATCATTATACGTTATACAAACCATTATACAAACAAACATTATACATAATTTTTATGGGTATATCTCTCGCCCCTGATAATACAGTCCTCATGTACAATAATGAGCTAAATATTTATGTTATTTGAACTGTTGTACTCACAAGGAGATTAGGGAATGACAAATCTGTAGTAACGTTGATGCGTTCTTCCGGTTCTCTTTCCATCACAGTAATTATATTCTTCTGAAACAAGAAGTTGGGATGGAAAGGGATCGATGCAAAAGAAGGTCCTTCCGTTCTGTTGCTCTTCGTGATTTAGAATCTCCATTTTGTTAAAATTGACTTTCACGATGCAGAGTAGTAAACGTTTTATCCTCCAAATAAAATCACGAAGAGATGCCGAGCAGAACGATCCTCGGCATTAAAAAATACTACAACAGTTTATAATGTGAGAAACAGTCGGGGAACTTGACGGACCCCCCCCCCTCCCATCTAAAATGTTTCAGTAATTATTAATTTTAACTTATCACGAAACTATCAAGCAAAAATATTTTCAGATAATAATTAAAACGAATAAAATGAATCGCAGCAAGAGCTCAGTTGAGCCTGTGACATTTTACAAAAACTGCAATTCGAATTTCCTCTTCCAAACTTCTCTTGATCCTCCCCAGGTAGAATCCATAAAGAATCCAGGTACTTAGCATCTCGGTCATAACAAAAATCGTGTTTTTAATCTTTTAAAAATCGTTTTTTTCAGTTCCGTTTGGTTCCCTCTCCCCTCCCCCCAACCTCACTCCGCCCGCTCTCCACCAGATCCGCAACGGCGAACAAGAAAAAACCTTCAATGAACTATTTGGAGGCTGGCGTCACGGCCCAAACGCGGCGGCCGACTGGTGAGTCTTGACTCACGGCGGAGTAACGTGGGAATTCGGCTTTGCGTGACGTCAATTCGGCCCTCGGCTCGCCGAAACGTGAACTGGACGCCGCGGCCGCCGCCGCCGCTTGAAATAGACGGAGCAAATCGCCCGCTGGCTCCGAATGTCGCGTCGGCGTCTCGAAAAACCTGCCGCCTCGCCCAACGCCCACTGCCCATCGCCCACCGCCCTCCAACTGGCTCGCCCGCGTGGGCGTGGTGACCAGCGCCGGGCAGCGGGATCTGACGGTGGATGTCCCCATGCCTAGTGATGGCAAATTTGAGAAAATTATCGATAGATCGATTCATCACCAAAAGGTTTTCCTTAGCGAGTTCGTGCCACCCTACATCTCTATCGATCTTCTATCGAGCATCTGCGTGTGCGCAGAACATCGATAATGCTGGTGCGAAGGCGTGCACAAACTCTCTGATGTCGATGAAAACATCGACAGAAACATCGATGTTTAAAATATCGATGTTTTAAATATAATGAAATATTTATAAATTAAATGTTCTGGTCACCGTTAATTTAAAGTATATTCTGCCTTACATTTAACTGCCATCTTCATTTTCTTATCAATGATCTCTGCACTCAAGGGTCGAATTTCAGTTTAACAATATTACCTCGTACAAAATAGCAAAAAGGTAACAGCACGGGTGAAAGGTTGCGAATGGCAGACGTCTTCGGACAGCCTGGGGTTTGTTTTGAAAGATTGAATATGTCTTGTGAATACGTCACTGAACTTTCGTAGGTTGTTTGATACAGCGGGCAATTGTGGCAAGGCCCATATATGATAAACGACCCGTTGCTGAATTGGTTAGGTCGCTTTTCGTTCGAGTCCGATGTGAGCGTTTACGTTCCTTCGCTTTCTAAAGATCTTTTTGATCTGGCATACTATTTTTTTCTTGTATAAATATATGTTTGAAACAACGAAGGCTTCCACGCAACGGCTAATAATGGCTAAGAGAGCGAGCGATGGATAGGCCAATGTTGCGAACAGATGATTGAGTCAGTTGTTGACGACTTAAATCGATGTTTTCATCCTAACTTTCTGACAGTTTCGAATGGCTACAATGGACTGATGACGTTAGAAGTAGATGGTTGATGACGGCGGTCAAGGTTATGGTAGATAGCTTTTGCTCTTTCCGACGAGATGGACACAATGATTGAATACAATGATTATGTCCTTGAATTTTTTCAAGGTTTAGGTGCTTTGCAGTTAGAATTAGTAAGATAAATAGATAATTATTGATCGAGAATATTATAAACACATTCACCACTATCTGAAACGAATCGATTTTTCTAAAGTTTGGTTGAATTTTCTCAACAGTTGTCGTAGGAAATGCGTTATTTTATTTATTTAATGTTAAAATCGATTAAAATCTGTGTGTAACGTATAGCTCAGAAGTGCAATATGTACATATTTTCTTGAGCTCCAGTGTACTTACCTACCTCTTACTCTGTATTCTTAAGTTATGAATAGGAGGAAGTGACGAGCAGTTTTAGTAAACAAGAAACCAATCATTTAAATACACAATTCTTCATTTTAAAAAAGAGAGTGTACATGCTGTCGTTTCTTTCAGTTCATTTGTTGAGATTGTTTTTAACGGGAGGGGGTCGTTAATATCCTCAAAGAACTGAGGATAGTCCATTGAGAATGAATTGTTTTGGCTGTTTGCGTTTGGTCGATGTGAAGCTGCAGATTTACGCAAGCGAATTAATGGCTGTTTGTTGTAACCTCTGTGCGCAGGTTCCAGAAGGCGTGCGTCAAGTACGGCGTCCCGGACGTTGACCTGTTCCAGACCGTCGACCTGTGGGACAAGAAGAACATCGTGAACGTGACAGTCACGATTTTCGCTATTGGAAGAACGGTATGCCCGCACACCTCTCTTCGAGCGCGATCGTAACAAAATCGTGAACATTTTGTGTATTTTACTGCATGTTACAAACTGGATTAATACAATTATTTGTTTAATCTTGATGAACGTTATCCTTCGTATTTTGAAAATAAAAGTAAAAAAATAGATATTCGTACCGTGGAAGGAAACTTTTAACTTATTTTTAACTTTAACACGACGTTTTGTGACCAAATTAATCACATTCTAACGGACTAGATAAAAAACAAGTAAGTCACTACAGGTCTAAGAAATTAAAACAACAATCCAAATTCTCAATATACTCGTAGGTATTGGTAAAAATACAATAGAAACAGTGTATGTGCAAATTTAATCAATGGTGAAAGGCGAGGATGAACTTTCCTTATTTGAAATCGAAGGAAATCCTTGTTGAGTAATTGAGTACCCTGCTCTGTCTGTCCGTCACGCACGGTAAGACCTCTTCCGGACTACCAATCGAAACAAATGGGCTGTCGATGGGATTCGACGCGTCTGTCGCTAGGCGGGGAGCTGATCCTTTTTTGCAGCTCCATCTAGAAAATACGAAGAGTTTGCTCTAAATAGGCTTTTAAAGCTAACTCAAACGCATCTACATCCCATTGAATTCCTCTAAATATGGCAAATCGATTTTCACAACTCTTAGCGTGATCCTTTTGGCAGATGTCCAGAAAGAGACGATTTTTATTGATTTCAGTGAACTTTCAAGTATATTGATGAAATATTATATTATGTTATATTGTATAATATATTACTAAATTATTATACTCTCTCCCAAGCTTCTATGTGAATCACAACGTGATTGATAATTGCCGATTATGCCGATATTAATAATCTAATTATGTAATGAATCGAAGTTGATTACAAATATATTTTAATGGAAACTTTTTCATTTCACTTCCCCGAGTCCGAAAATGGACGAGTCGGACAAATGTAATATGTTTGTAGATCATAAATTAAATATAATATGTTGTAAATCGTAAATTAAGCTTCAGAATGAAAATACCTCCAGGTGGCGCCTTGCTAAGCTCGTATTTAGTAAAGTATTACCATAACGCAGGAATGCTGGAGACTCACCTTTGATCTGCAAACAATCATTATTTAAAAGCAACTCCCAAATTGAGTGATAATTGTTAAACAATATGATTTAAAAGTGTTAAAAACGCAAAGATTTAAAATTTAAATATTTGAATTATTTGTTTAACGGATGCATCAACCAAACACTTCAGTTTATTTACGTTGGAGAAGATTCATGTACATTTTTCAGCATTGCTTTACTTGAGCAATTAATGATTGGTGATGAACAATATACTGCCCAACAGTAATGTAAAGAAAGTAACCAGAGTTGAAATTAACGGGCGCATAAGTCTGAGATCTAGTACGCAAGTCCTAATTTTTAATCGTGTCATTAGAATAGTATAAGTAACCATAGTTCTTTCTTTCATTTAAATCTTAAGTAAACGTTTAATGATTTCCGTTTGATTGTTAAAGTAGTTAAGTATTTCCAAAAATGCTTTATGTTGAAGCCATCTGCCATAATGCATACGTACCTTGAATTTATGGGTTACTCTTTAAATGCAATTGAGAATTAAGATTGTGAAGTTTGCTGCATTATACGTAAATGTTCCACTTACCAGTAATAAATATGAAAAAAAGTATCCATTGAAATGAGATAAGGTTCAAGTGAGATAAGAAGGTATTCATGTTCATTTAAACTGATATTGGTTATTTTTTTAGTTATCTCTCTTTGCGAAAAAAAGGGGAAAAAATAGTATAGATTAACGTACCGAAAATGTGCGTTTCCCCTGAAATCCACCGAGTGTCCCCGAGGTTATCCTACGAATGCATCACCAGTGCGTTATCAGCCCTCCTCCACCGCATCCTGGTGATGTAGTGTGAACGTTATCACGGCGGAATTTCGTGGAAACTGCGCTCGACGGGCTGCCAAGTCGTCACGCAGCTACGCGCTGATTGCGACGACTCGGTCGCAAGGCAACTAAAAGCAGTAGAGTTTCCGAGCCGTCTACGACTCCCCCAGAGGACTATCTGGAACAGGAATGTCTACCTTGCAAGACCGCAATTGCCACAACTAAAACCTGTAATATGGTTGCGGGCCATGTGTACATTACTCGAGTGACTTCCGCGTATTGTTGATTCCGACAGTTTGCCCGACTGCTCTGAAACGGAGGGGGAGGGTGAGGGGGAGGGTGAGGAAAGGAATATCAGGCCGGACTATGCGTAACGCAGGGCAACGCATTGAGATGATTTAGAATTTTTGAATTACTAGAAAGAAAAAAAAAACTTAAATCTAAACAACGTATTTTTGCATGAAGGGCGCGGGAGCTAGGCGAGAAAGGCTTTCGCCCCACGTGGATGCAATGCACCTTTCGACCAACACCTTTTTGCGGGACAAAAAAAAAATTGCTCCGCCGGCCGCCAGTTGGACAACCCTGACTAGAATTTGATCGATAAGTGAACTCCTGCAGTGCAAGTGCGGTGTTGTGATTTAAGCGCGGTGTTGTCATTTTGCAAGAAAACACTTCGGGTTCAAGTTCCGAGAAACGTAATTAGAACACTTTATCAGTGTTGAAATACTTCTTGTTATTGTTAGTATTAACGACTTTTTGTATTGCATTGTATTTCTTTCCGGAGTACCATAGAATTATACCCAGTTGCAGTTTAATTAAATCTAACTATACCTACAAAAGGAGGAATGACCTTAACCCGAAGTGGCGAATATTTCAAGACAACAGGATGGATTAATGGACGAATTGCTTTCTCCTGATTAGTAATTTTTAAGATTAAAAATATGTCACAAATGACACCCGAATATGATGTACTCCCTTAATAAACATTTTTATTGTCAACGCAATAAAAAGGAATCTGCTCAGGAGACTTTCTGGCTCCGCCACTGACGTCCCGGGATGCGTTTTTCGTGCGTAGAAAAATTTCGTGTCGAACTTTGTTAATAATTTTGTGGGTAAAATAAATACCGCGAATGTCTTCAATCATAGGGATAGTACAATAGATGGCAGCAAAAGCTGTAGGCGACGGGAGCGATAGATAGTAGTCAAGGATGTAGAATTATAATTGCAAAATTTTGGAAGCAAACTGCTGATATTATCTACAGTATATGAGGACAATTCTCAAAATATTTACATTTTCCTGACTAATTAAAAATGTTCATTACTTTTAAGGGTTGCAATCTATCTTACTTTATATAATACTATGTTGTCGTAATGTGCTCACAGAAGAAAGATAATCAAAATCTGCTGAACGTCTTTTTATGTCTCATTATGTTAATTGTATTTCGATTCAGAATTGATAAAATTAGTAAAATGTTCTAATTAGATAGCGCCATTTTGATACTAATTTTATTGACTTAAGTTACGGTGGTATAAGATATAAGTTACGATAATTTAAGTTAGTTATTGTAAGTTTATTTATAAATTATGCAGAGGCAAAAACGTAAAGTGAACCGCCACGTGCCTCAGTGCATTTCATCTACTGCAAAACGAATATTTACTTGAACCTTTCAGATGCACTAAGGAATTCATGCTTGAGAGAGCTCCTTCTTAATCTAACAATCACATTCTTGACACAGCAAAACTTCATACGGTGAGAAATTCGCTTGGCGCCAGTGTTCTATTTGCATAAACGTATTGCAAGGGCAGCAGACCAGTGGTATGTTTTCCAAGAAGACCTGCAAGGTAGGGATAGTTATATTTAACTTCAAGCACAGTAGTAATGCTGTCGTCACTCCTTACGCACTCTCAGAGCTTCTTGGAAAGAAGGAACGAAAGTTAGAAAACATTTGAAACGAATATTAGACCTTAAAAGTTTGAGGTTGATTTATATCTATGCTTGGAAAATATTTTGTCATATACTTACATTTTTAAAACTAATTTAGTAACCACTAAATTAGTGTTCGTTTGAATGTGACTTTATTTGACAGAAGTGGTGTTTATTAACTTTTATTTAAGATTTTATCGATAAAACAAAGTAGAAATAACGATAATTAGCAAAACAGCCTGAGAGCCTGAGTCTCATTTCAAGGGACCCCAAAATTCGTAGTAGAAGGATGAGAGAGAAGGGGCCGCACTACACTTACGGCGCTTGCGTTGACAGCCTCTGCTCATGAGAAATACGAGGATACGCATAGGATAACGAGGGATGACATAGTCGGACGAGATATAGTATTATCGATGAAGGCCACACAAATACGGTTCGCTTCATTCTGACACATGATCTGAAAGTGGCAGCATGTCTTACTTCTTATTATCTTTTACAAATTGTCGTTATATAACTTTCATATTTCCAAACAAAACATTGACAACGTCCAAGACATCGATGTTAAACCGGCTTTGATAAATCGATGTGTGAACAAAACCAGCGACATCGATGCAGCAGTCGGCGGCTGCGGCGGCGGGGGAGTGGGGGGGGGGGGCGAAGCGCGAGGCGGCCGATAGAGCGCCCCGCCGTCACCTCGCGGCCGCGTGAGTCACTAGAGAGGCAGCGCGCGACGCAGCGTCAGCAGTCAGCACGCGCACGCAGTGATTCACGCAGGCCGCTCGCTGCGAAGGACCGCTTTGCTTTTTGTCTCTGTCTCTCTGCCTCTCTCTCTGTCTCTCTCTGTCTCTCTCTCTGCATCTCTCTCTGCATCTCTCTCTCTCTGCCTCTCTCTCATCTCTCTCTTTCTGCCTCTCTCTGTCTCTCTCTTTCTCTGTCTCTCGCTGTCTCTCTCTCTCTGTCTCTCTCTGTCTCTCTCTCTGTCTCTCTCTCTCTGTCTGTCTCTCTGTCTCTCTCTCCCTCTCTCTCTCTGCCTCTCTCTCCTCTCACTCCTCTCTCTCGTTTTATGTTTTTCGCGAATTATGTTCGAAGCAGTTTGCGTCAACGTATCTGTCCAGAAATCGTGATATGTCCTGAAACAAACTTTAACTCCATATTATAAATGTATTAGCTACATGTGGTATACTAAA